CTCCCCACTAAATTTTGTATTGTCCCCCCTTTATATTAAACAACTATATCACAACCCACCCCAATACATTTTGTCCCCCATGTTTCACATAAAAAATTACAAAATGTACAATTCCTAAACTACCCCTCCGACCTTATTGAAATTACCAAACTACCCCTGAACGTACTGCAAATTACCAAACTACCCATCATCTATAACACATCAATTAATCAAACTTAACCAAAATATAGACAATATGATTAATTTCTAACAATGTTCAAACAACAAATTTCATGAACATGATTTCTTCAACATTTTAACAACAAATCACATGAACATGATTTCAACAACATTTCAACAACAAATCACATGAACACAAATTGAACAACAAAGAACAACTAAAATTTGATTGAACAATATTTTAGCAACAAACAATCCTATTTTCGGATTCAACAACAACAACAAACAAGTATATTTAGATTTCTAAATTCAATAATATTGAACTTAAAATCAACTCTAACAACATTACAACAAACAATTCCTATATTAAACTTAAACAAGATTATGAGACAAATTCAAGAAATAATCATAAATGATATACAAGAAATCAAACTATACAAATTTCGGATTCAAGATCAACCAAACAAAGTATGAACATGAATGAATCTATTTTTTAAAACAACAAACATGACGGATTAAATGACTCAAACAACATTAATAATTTCTGGAAAATATATAACAACATGAAACAAATTGAAGAAATAATCAATTAAATTTCAATTTGAATCTAACAAACATTAAACTAACAAATATTCACTTAAACAACAATACAAACATGAAATAAACATGAAAAATAACTAATTAACTTCCATTTGAAATCTGAAAATTAATTCAACAAAAACACATGAACATGAACAACTGCGTAGAAGCAGCTGCGTTTGGTTGTGGCAAACCAAATGAAGGCAGAAGAAGCAGCGATGGAGACTAGCCANTGTGTACCTGATATTGGAAGCAAAAGAAAATGAAGATGAGAATCAGCAGCAGTAATAACAGTACAACCCAGCAGCAACAACCCAGCAACAGTAAAAACCCAGTAACAGACCGGTGGAGTAGTAATCCCGAAACAAATGCTTCCAACTTTTATGAAACAACAACAATTAATGCTGATTTTAAACAATGAAAGAAAGCAGAATATTTTTTTTTGTTTTTTTTATTTGAAGGTTTGAATATTTTTCGGAATTTTTCTCTCTCTTAAATGTTCACCCTTTTTTTTTCTCTCTTATTTTCTTTTTGTTCCAGATTCGTTCCTCTCTTTTTTCTCTATCTTNCATTTTATTTTGCATTTTTTGGGAGTAATTCTCATATAGGGCAAAAATCACGTGCTTACAATGCACATGAAAGACATGCACAAAAGGGGCATGAGTACACCACAACGGTACTCAGTAAGTGCCAAGCCTAACCTCGGTTGGGTAGTGACGAGGAAGGTCAGGGCCCTACTGAGGTTAAATAAAATATAAAGATCAACAATAAAGAATAGAACAATATAAAGAAGTACCGCAGTAAAATAACACAGGATGTACAGGACAACAACAACTATACAGAAACAAGGTAGACATGGAAAGAAAATACTGCTCAGCACCAATAATAACAATTGGGGATCTCCCAGGATACCGTCCTGTAGTCTCATCTGTACATGTCCAGTGGATCTCCTGGAATTCCATCCCGTAGTACAATTTATAGTGCGTGGGAATCTACCAGAATTCAGTTCCGTAGTCCCAAATGTAAATACCCAGTACTGGGGGAATCTACTAGGTGCATTCCCGTAGTTCCATATAACTGTACGGAGATCTCGGGAATCTAACCCGTAGTCCCAAAGTAAATATGCATGGGGATCTACTGGGAATCTAACCTGTAGTCCCAAAGTAAATACACAGCAACAACAGGAAGATATATAGAAATGGCAAAATTTCATATTAAGGCAATAAGTGATTCTAGCTTAGCATGCTGCACAGAATTCAAGTAAGGCAGGTTGAATCAAATAAAGCAATTAAGACACTTATACATGCTTTCCTAAGATAACAACAGACTTAATAGTGCAAGTAATAAAAACAGGAAAGGAAACATACTAGTAGTTACTTAAAGAAAATTTGATTTCTAACAATTAGCACAAGTACGCACTCATCACCTCACGTACAAGGCACTTCAATTACCAAACATACCAATCCTAAGGGGAAGGTCCCCCACACAAGGTTAGACAAGCCACTTACCTCGAACCGGCTCAAAAATCAATCCGAAACCATGCTCTTGCCATGAGTACTCGACTCCAAATGGCCCAAATCTATTCAATTCATTTTCATAATGTAAATAACACTTCAAGTAACTGATTCTACAGTTAAATTCTAAGCTAATACCCGAAATTATATAAAATGACCAAAATGCCCCTCGGGCCTACATCTCGGAATTGGGTGAAATTTATATTTTCAGAAACCTCGTACTCTCACGAGTCTATACATAATAAGAACACTGAAATCGGAGTCTAAATGATCCCTCAAATGCTCATTTAAAGGTCTCTTAAACTCAAACCCTAAGTATCCATTTTTTCCCAAATTTTTCATCACTAATTAGGTCTGTAATCACATAGAAACGAGTTATGAAGTCAAGGATGTTACTTCCAAACGATTCCCCTCAAATCCTTCTTCTATCACCTTCAAATAGCTCCAAAAATAATTAAAAATGGTGGAAATAAACCCCTAAAGTCGCGGAACCCCTTGTAAAATAATGCCTAGTAGTTTCCACATCTGCGGTCCCGCTTTTGCGGAACAAATGTCGCATCTGCGACTTTCACTTAAAGAGCCAGCTTCCGCATCTGCGACTCCCAATCCACAGATGCGATACCGCTTCTGCGGTTCTTGAAGAAAAGACCAAAATCCGCTTCTGCGGTCCCCAAACCGCAGATGCGAAAATACCAGAAGCAGCAAAAAAATACAGCAGCTGCAACATTTCCTCAAACTTCTCGTTAAGTATCCGAAATCACCCCGAGGCCCCCGGGACTTCAACCAAAAGCACAAACATCACCTAATACCTTATTCAAACTTGTACCAATCCTTAAAACACCTACTACAACATCGAAACCTCGAATTAACCAAGGATTTAAGCCTAAGAGCTCTAAATTTCCTCAAAATACGCTTTCGATCAAAAAGTCTATCACAACGCGTCCGAATGACCTAAAATTTTTCACACACGTCACATTCAACACTACGGAGCTACTCCAACCTCCAGAAAACTATTCCGATCCTCGGATCAAAATCTCACTATCGGACTGGAAACTTCAAAAATTTAGCTTTTGGCATTTCAAGCCTAAATTAGCTACGGACCTCCAAAACACAATCTAAATACGCTCCTAACCCCGAAATCACCCAACGAAGCTAACAGAACCATCGGATTTCCATTCCGAGGCCGTATTCATACTGTTCCAACTACGGTCAACTTTCCAACACTTAAGCTCTCATTTAGGGACTAAGTGTCCCAGAACTCTCCGAAACTTAAAACCGAACATCCCGGCAAATCAAAATAGCATAATTAAACTTGGGGAAAGCGGTTAATAGGGGATCGGGGCGTTAATTCTTAAGACAACCAGCCGGGTCATCACACACCTACTTCATTAGGCTGTTTGGATCTAGCAACCAATGCTTCAGCCGTGAAAGCAATCTCAACTTACTCCTCCATTACTGCCGTTGTTAAAACATTTGAAGTTTCAACAAGAAGAATAACTGACTCATTGGAAGTAGATGCAGGCACATCTGGGTCACCTACTTCATTAGGCTAATTAGATGTAGCACCAAATGCTCCAATTTCCTCTGAACCACCACCTAAATCACCGACTTCATTAGGCTCCTCCGATTTAGCAACCAACACTCCAGCTATGGATGCAATCTCAACTTGCTCTTCTGTTGCTAGTGTTGATAAAACATTTGTAGTTTCAATAGGAAGAATATTTGACTCATTAGGAGTAGATGTAGGTAGTTCAGATGCAACACTCTTTGTATTTGGATCCTACAAATGTTTCTGGAATCACCTCAGCAACTCTTTTCACATTTGGTTCATCAATCCTAGCAACAAAAGTACTAAATTCAAAAGAAGATGTATTTATTTATGGAATTGCTGAATCATCAACAGTAAGTTCAATAGGTCATGGAGGGACCAACTACATAGTTGTCTTAACTGCTCATAAGAGGAAAAGAAATAGAACCATAAATGATAGAAATTCAGCATTGAGTTTAAAAGAATATTTGTAGAAATTTACAAGGAACCTATACCACATTTTTGTATGTAATGTAGTTCCAGAAGTTCTTTTTCCAACGGCATATGCAGAAAGTGGTTTCAACGTGAAAACAGACAATATTCTTTCCAAGTCTAACTGTGAAAAGCGGAATACCAAAAATATATAACTGAATTTAAAAGTATATCTGTATAAATCAACAAAGAATCTTGGTCTAATTTTTTTTATATATTGTACTTCCAGAAGTCCTCTTTCCAACGACACAAGCATATCGCAATTTCGACATGCCATTGGAGAGATAAACATTTTTTAGTCAGAGTGTGCAAAGCTGTAAAAATTAGAATTGCAGAAATTTATAACGGAGTTGAAAATAATATCTGTATAAATCTACAAAGAAATTGGACCTGATTTTTGTGGATATTGTTGCTTCAGCAGTCTTCTTTCTAATGGCATAAGTGGAACATGGTTTTGACATGTCTGCAGAGAGATATGAATTTTTTATTTAGGACGCACAAAGCTGTAAAAACCTTAATACCTAAAATTTAGAACTTAATTCTAAAGCATATTTGTATAAATTTATAAAGAATGCTAACCTTATTTTTGTACATACTGTAGCTCAAGAAGTTCTCTTTCCATCATCACAAGCGGATCGTGATTTCTTTCAACATGCTAAATAAAACAATGTAAACAAAAGACATTATCATCAACAACAAAAATCTTAGTAGTTAAATAATTTAAAAGTAAACAGAAGAAGCGTACCACCTCAACAATTGTCAGAATAAATTTCGAAAAACTTCATTAAATACTACATTTATAGCTGCAGTAGTTATTTGTCCATCATCATCATAAACCAAAATTTTTAATCCCTTTCTAGTTGTTACCCTGGAAAGAGAAACATATAACTGTCCGTGGGTAAACACGGGTTTCTTCAAAAATAATCCCACATGAGACAATGACTGTCCTTGACTTTTATTGATTGTCATGTCAAAAGATACAATGATTGAAAATTGTCTTCGCTGGAACTTAAATGGAATTCTAGCATCAGATGGAGTCAATGTCATTCTTGGGATAAACACTTTCTGTCCAGCCATATGTCCTGATAAAACATTGGCTTCAATAACTTGATTTCCAAGTTTAGTTATGACCAAACTTGTTCCATTACACAATCCTGTTGATTGGTCAATATTTCTTAATAACATCACTGGAACACCTACCTTTAGAGTAAGAGCATGATTTGGAACTCCAGAACATTTAATAGTATTCAAAAATTCTGGTGTGTGTACATGTTCCAATGATGAATAAGTTTGATCAGAGCTGCAAATTGTATCAGAACTCAAATATGATTTCTCAGAACTATGATTGAGTGAAATCATATATTCGTTGATTGATTCTACCATATCAAGAGTTGGAGCAAGAATGGCTCTTTGTTGGATGTATCCTATATCGTTGCAACAATTGATAAAATCAGGATATGTACTTTTCACAATTGCAGATATTGGATCAACAAAATCTTTTATCAGAAGATCATCTGGTATTTCGACTTTTTCATTGCCATCAACTGAATTATCAATCATACCATCACCAATTGCCAAAATCCAATCTGAGAAAACTTTCAACTCTTGCATCTTGGGCCCTATTTCATTACTTTGCAATCTCATATTCTTTGTCAGCGTTAAGAGTTGACAATGAGACCATAAATAAGAAGAATTGAGAGAAGCATTAACAATATCTTGCCTAGTACCTTTTGGAATGACTGGTAATATTTGTCTGAAGTCACCACCAAGAACAACTGTTTTACCTCCAAATGGTCGTACTAAGTTGGATGCATCTTTGAATCTAAGTGTCACACCTCCTTTTTACCTACACCCCCGGAAGGGAAGGTATATAAGGAAGTTTTTCCAATTAAAGGACAATCGAAACGAGATTATTTCATTTAAAGATTCAGAGTTGCCACTTGAAATATTTTAATTGGTGTTCCAAGTCACCGATTTATTTTAAATCCCAAATCGAGGAAATTTCGACTTTCCTTTTGAAGTCTGCGAACCAGAAATTCTGAATAAGGAATTTTGTTAACCCGAGGGAAGGTGTTAGGCACCCCCGGATTATGTGGTTCTAGCACAGTCGCTTAAAATATTATAATTGGCCTGTTATCTGATTTTAATACAAGTTTTAGCCTATGGTACATTTTTAACTTATTAGCCGCTTTTGATTATTTTTAAGGAAGATTTCAACGTCATCTAAAACACGTCTTTGGACCACGCCACATGAAATGCACCCGCAGTCTGAGACACATTTTATTTAACGTTGTGGAGATTTTGGATTTGGGTCATATGAAATGTACACCCCGGTTTAAGGAAATTAATTTAAATTACGCGCCTAAAGCAACTACGCGTTTTTAAATTTGCGAGGGCCATGGAAATTCGCTAAATGGCACACCACGATTTCTAAGGATTAAAAGAAATAATTAAATGAGGGCCACGCATTTTGAGATTTTATTTGGCATGACACGCCTCAACTTATTCTAACGTGAATAGACAAAAATAACCAGATTTCGCCAATTTTATTTAGAATCAAACACGAAATCAACCACTAATTAATTTACCAAATCAAATTTAAAGATCTTAAAATTTTCTCATAAAGCAGAACTATCAAATTCGCCACCAATTTTGCTGCTCAGGTCGAGATCAGATGGTGACATACAGTTTTTCTATGTATCTACCATGAAAAGGAAAAAACAACTAATTGGCGACGTTTCTCAACAACGTCTCACCAGGACATTTCAGGAATTTTGGCACCAACCACAAGAATATGTCAATACGTGAACTTTGTTGTAATGGTGCCGGTCAAAAAAGGCACCACAAGTAAATCTTCACCACCACAAAATGGCAGTCAACTAATGTTTGCAACTTTCATGATTAACAAGAAAATGAAGTCAACATGAGAATGAGACCAAGTAAGGGAAAATGATTTCTACGACAAAATATTTAGCACCCATAACAAATTACAAAAATTTAACCAAGCATGATCTTCCAAGCAAAACGATAAAGAAGAAAATAACATACCTCGAATCTAACGAAAAGCTCGTCGGCTCGACTCGAAAATGACCAGCAGTTGGTCGTTCACTCACCTCTGTTTCCGCCGGAACTGTAGAACGAGGTTTCACTTGAATTTAAGATGGCTTCAAGTGGTTTACACGAGGTGTTTTTGTGGTGATTTTGGGGCTTATTTGTGATGGTTTAATGGTGAAGCAATGGAGCTTCTTTCATAGATGGATGTAATAGGCTATGGAGAATTTACATGGTGTTGAAACTTTGTGTTTTTGTGCTTGGGAAAGGAAGAAGATAGCTCTGTGTTTTTGTGCGATCCCTAGCCCTTTCGTTCCCCAGATCTGTCCCCTCCCTTTCGTTTTTCCTCTCCAACCCCCTTTTCCCCGTTCCTCTCTATATATTAGCGTGTATGTGTTGGCCAAGAAAAAGCCATCCAGATAAGAATGTGTGTGGTCCCTACTTAAAAGAATATTTCTTGTTTTTCTCTCGCATGTGGCGTGTGTGTGATTTTAAAATTGGATTGTGCATGAGAGTTGTTAGCCTATTTTTGTTCACTAGTGGGGAGGGGTCCACATTTAAAGAATGGAAAGACTCTTCTTTTATTAATAATCAAATTCTTTTGTTTCTTAAATACTAAATAAATGTGAAGAATGTGTATGTGACTTTATACTAGAATGAAGACGAAGTGTGCGATTTCCTCATTTCTTGATTTTCCCTTTTCACTTTCTTTTTTGGATTCTTTTCTCTCTTTCTCTTTTTTCTTTTAAAAGATAATAAGTAACAAAACTAAAATTTGATACTACTAAATCCAAGAAACAAAGTTCCAATTGCTTCAAATTAAAATACTAACTAAACAAAAAATTACTAATAACCTAAAATAAAGAAAATATTATTATATTTTTTTTGTAGTTTTTTTAAAAAATAAAATAAAGCAAAGAAGTTGAACTAAAAGTTAAAATATCAATATTAAACCTAAAATAAACATCTAAACACTCAAATGTGTAAAATATCGTGAATGGTCAAAAATTGCATGTCTACAACTGCCCCTCTTTGACTGGAAATACGAAGTATTTTCAGGCAAAGAACGACTAGACAGANTCGTCTTTTCTTTTTCTTCTCTTTTTTTGTTGTTGTTTTTTTTCCTTTTTTTTCATTTTTTTTCTCTTTTTGAATCACTTTCCTTGCACCGCTTTGTTCCTGTTTCATACAAAGAAAAATTTGTCAGTTTTGAAAATAGTGGTCGGTTTGTGGCCTTGAGTCTTGGGCAGCTTGGCTTATGCTCAATCAGCTTGAGTCAGTCTCAAAAAGACTTTTGTTCTGCACCAACTCTGATTGTTTCACACCAGTACCATTTGTATTTGCAGCTCAAACAGCCTTATCCCAATTGGAGATCTTTTCTTAGATGACCTTTTCTGATATCATGAATGACTTCCTGCTTTTGAGCAGTTTGTCTGTCAGAGAGAATCACCAGATATCTTTGTTTGCGCCAAGTAGGCTGACAAGAGTCTTCTGGGGAAGCCTTTGCATGAATCCTTTGTGCAACTGAAAAGCTGGTAGCAGATTTTGAAGTTTTTTCTTGCTTGTTTTGACAAGGACCGACTCAGAGTGAATGATACAATGATGCAAAGAAACAAGTATCAACAAGAAATGCCCCTGTCGGAAGGACAGAAGGAAGAGTGTTTTTTTTCTTTTTTTCAATAACTAGCCTTAATGATCATGACATGCATTTTAGACTCAACGGCCTGATCTATCAAACTAATCCAATCTTCCCTTTTAACATTCTTATGACCTTTGAAGTCGGGCTTGTTTATGTCAATTCTTTGCATCAGATTCACGACTCGCTTTCGACTAGTGGTGCCCCGGGGGATTTTCACCAATAATTATCTCTCATTTATTTATCTCTTCTTACCATCACCTTACAGTGCCTGTGAAAGTTTTCACTAGTAAGACTCTCTCATTTTCGTTTCTTTTTCTTTTTCTTTTACTTTCTTGTGCGAGCAACTTGACAGTGTTTTACGTCATGTGACAACCGTTGCTCATTGCATGCTTCTCTTGGCATTCTTGAAGGCATATTGGGAGGTCTTTATTTGGAAGGATTTTGGATAGGGTTGGAAAGAAAGGACGTCATGAAGGCTCAAAATAAACTCAAAGTAAAGGGGGTTGTGGAGTTACAACTCTTGGAATCGACTCTTTCAAAAGTGAAATAAAATCTCTGCCCCAGTTTCAGCTATTGGGGACTTTTTGGAATTTTTCTCTTTTTCTCTTTTTTTTGAATTCTTATTTGGTTGGACCGAACGTGAGGCTGCCTACGTATCCTTTTTTTTTAAGGAATCAGGTCGAACGTAGTTCAAACATCTGACCTAAACTATTTTTCATCTTTCTTTCTATTTCTCTTTTTTCTTTTTTTCTTTTTCTCTGTTTTTTCTTTTCTTTTTCTTCTTTTTTTTCCTTTTTTTTCTTTTTTTAGTTGCCCCAGTTTCTATTTTTGAGGGCATGGACCTTCGACAGTACTTTTCTTCTTCTTTTTTTACTTGAACTTTCAAAGAGCTGCCCTAGTTTGTACTCTTGGGGCATGGACTTTTCTTTTTTCATTTTTTTTGACTCTTGACTCTAAACTTGATTCCAAAAGGGGGTGGTCAAAGAAAATAACACAGGCACGAAAGGGGCAATAAATGGTATAAAGTGTTTGGGTAGCATAAAAAAGGGCCTCCCAGCCTCGAGAATGCTAATCATGTTATCTTTCCGCGATTACAGCATTGACGAACATGTTTGTCTTCTTGGTGTGTTGTGGTCACAAGACACTTTCTATCCCTTTAATGTCAAACTTTCCAACAAACTTCAATTGATTAAATATCATGAAGCCCGATCTTCACAATGATTTGAAGTTGAATTTTACTCGACTTTAATTTCAAAGTATTTCAACTCTTTATTCATCCTCAAAAGTGTTTTTTCTTCAGTTATCCAATTCCAGAATAAATCAGTTTCTAAGATCTGACCAAAATTTCCGCATGCATGTCATGTTATTAGAACTAGCGCGAAAAGAACTAAGAACAGAATGACACAAAAGGACAAACTGTATTTTATTGAGTAAAGGAAGAAAGGGTTTGACAACAAGACAAACAACCTAAAATCCGAGTTAATAGAACAGACAGACAAGACTCACACAAATAGAATGGAGGGATAGAAGGGTTTGACTCAAACAAATAAAATCTGGATGACAACTCTGAAATAACCCAGATAGTAGAAAAACATCAAAACAAGCTACCAAGATTCCTTCCTAATGAGGAAAGAATGACTTTTCAATTGCTAAGCTTGACATTTAATCAGAATCACCATGGCTTTCCCCAATTTCAGTCGACAAGTTCCCGAGAGGATTCTCATACTCCACGTCACCGGGCATCATCCCCACAAAGTGTGCATCATCATGTGCAGGTAAATGATTCTGTGCGATATTCTGGGCGTCACTGTCTTGGATCACAATCAGGTTTTCCTGGATCATCCTTTCTATTCCTCTTTTCAAATCCCGACAGCTTTTAATATTATGCCCCTAGGCATTGGAATGGTATTCACACCTTTTGGAGGGGTCAAAGCTTCTTGCACGTGGGTCCACATGATTTGGAGGAATGGATGCAATCATGTCATGATGCATTAACTTCTCAAACAAGATTGCATAGGACTCTCCTATTGGCGTAAAATTATCTTTCAACCTTTGTTCCTTTCTATACCCCTAGCTTGGATGTGGGTTATAGGGCACTTGAAAATTTTGTGGAGGCTGGTGGAGATTTTGTGATGCTCGTGCTCGCCTTCTGGGGTATTTTGGTGGTTGGCCAACATACTGAGGTGGAGCAACAGAGTATTATGGGTTCTGAGGTGGATAGTAATGCTCAAGGGAGTTATTGGAAAACAGACGAGGCTGGCCATACCTTTGAGACATTCTCCTCGGACCTCTTCTCGACCCTGATGTCATCATGATTTCTTCATCCATCTCAATCGTGCCACTAAAATTATCAGATTCAATCTGGACAGCCTGAGTTGCAGCTTTGAGAACTGCTTGACATATAATTTTGCCTGTCTTAAGACCATTCTCAACCATTTCCCCCATTTTGATTGCTTTCGAGAAGGATTTACCCACTACAAATATCATATTTTGAAAGTAATCTGGCTCTTGTGCCTGAAGGAACACAGTGATTAGCTCGTGGTCATCCATGGGTGTCTTAACTCTAGCTGCTTGCTCTCTCCATTTAATGGCATATTCCCTGAAACTTTCAGTTGGTTTCTTCTTCAGGTTTGAAAGGGAAATGCGGTCTGGGGCGATGTCGATTTTGTTTTGGAGCTCTTTGACAGATGCATGTGCCATGTTATCCCATACATACCAGTGAGACGTGTCTTGATCCATAAACCATTAGGAGGCTACCCCCATAAGGCTTTCCCCATAATAAGACATCACCAATTCTTCATTTCTTCCCGCACCTCTTAATTGATTGCAATACCTTTTCAGGTGGGCTATGGGATCTCCATGTCCATCATACTTTTCAAATTTGGGAGTCTTGAAACCAGACGACAAGTGGACATCGGGGAACATACATAGATCTTTGAAGGCAACACTCTTTTGACCTGCCAACCCTTGCATGTTTTTCAACCGTTGTTCTAAGCTTTTCACTCTTTGGGTCATTTCTTCCTGTACCATCTTTCGGGCAGGCTTCTCAACGTTTGCAGGAAGATCAAACGAGTACGAGTGGTACTCAGAGGAGAGTGGTACTGCTCTTGCTGTGTAGCAAATTGTGACTCATGACGAGGCTGTCCTAAACCACTGGCTCATGCTTGACACATTTCGGTCATTTGCTGTTTCAACATTCTATTTTTCTCAAACACAGTAGACTCTTGTTGAACCCTCTGACCCTGAGTCTCTTGAGGACTTGTAACAGCTTCGATGCCAGTTATCATTTTTCCTTGGATCTTGTGTTTCCAGCTTACCACAAACCGACCACCTCAACTTTGTTCACAATTTAAAACAAAACATGTTAGAATGGACTCAGTCGGTCTTTATATTATCAATATTTTTCATTTCTTCATTTTTTTTTCATTTCTTTTTAATGGTGATCGAACCTGATGTGGGTTGCCTACGTATCATGTGAGAACATAAATCAGATCTTGCGTAGTTTGGGAAGATCATGAATAAAGGAAATAAACTAACTTTTTTTTTGGATTTTGAATTTTTTCATTTTATTTTTTCGAAAGAAAGACTTATAAAGAAGAAAGAGAATATTTTTGGAATTTTGATTCTTCTTCAAAAATTTTGCAAAGAAAGACTTCTAAAGAAAAGAGATATTTTTTTTTTTGAATATTGACCTTTTTTTTTTTGAATTTCGAAGAAAAACTTCTAAAGAAAGAAGAAAATATTTTTGAATTTTTGGACTTTTATTTTTAAAATTGTGAAAGAAAGACTTCTAAAGAAAATATTTTTGAATCTTGAATTTTCTTTTCAATTTTTGAAAGAATAATGAAAATATTTTTGGACTTTTTTTTTTTAAAAAAATTGGGGTCTTAAAGAAAGACTTTTCTAAAGAGGAAGTAAAGGAAAATATTTTTGGATTTTTTTTTGAAAATGGTGGGCCGGAACCGATGAGGTTTGCCTACGTATCTCACATCCGGTGAGAATCAGACCCGCATAGTTCGCCCTTTTTGACGGAACAGGGAAACATGACTTTTTGAAAACATTGGATTATTTTTCTCTTTTTTTTTTTAATTTCGGGAGAGTTTCAGAAATTTCAAATACCTACCTCTCACTATTGATTTCGTTCCTTTGATTTTCTTTTTTTTTTCGATTTTCTTTTTTCTCTTTTTTTCATTTTCTTTCCCTATTTTAGAAGCCGGTCAACATGCAAGCTGAAACAAACAGATGCGCAAGTAGCACGTAAGATGCATCAGGATAGTCTTTTTAATTTGGGTACATCTGTCCTAGACGGACCCTACCCCTGTGTTGGGTCCCCAAAGTCAAATGCACGTGATGCAAGCAAGCGTTCCTACTAGGGATATGGCATGAGGCTGTGTTATACTAGGTTTAAAAACCTGGGTGTATTGTTCTAGACCTGGCTTACCCGAGCGGACAGCTCGAGCCGAGGGGGGGCAGCGTACCGAGAATA